TGAGCAGACAAACAGCTGATCAGCTGTTTGTCGGCTCAGCGCGGCAGCCATGTAAATGTAAATGAAACCGCGATCATTTAAATCGCGGCTTCATTTGCCTTTGCCAAAAAAACAAATCTACATGCCTCTGCTGACAGAGGCATGTAGTTTAGACGTACCCTAAATGATGCAGAGGAAGGTAGCAGAGAAGGCAGGGCCTTAAGGAAGGGGTGGGGCTTGGCTTGACATTTAAAAAGTGATCTTGGGTGTAAAAAGGTTGGAGACCACTGCTGTACAACATAGTTAGGTTGATCTTAGCCCCCCTGTAGATGCAGTTGTGACCTAAGAACCCCTGGGTGTCAATTGCCAGAGGGCACAGGCATTCAAGGGTCCCTGGATTCACTGAAAGAAAGATCTCTAATGAAAGCCTGTGTCGCACTGCTTATCAGTACCATTGCAAACCACATGTACAGATGCTAAACGTATATACATTGAAAATTACATTTAGGTCTATATCTAAAGACTGATAGGTAAAAAAAACAGGATTTATGTATTGTTTACATGTAAATTAAATATTTTATAGTGGTCATAATGGGCATCCATACAGTCTAAGCCAAATCCTAGTGAAGGCTTGTGAAATCTTCAAAAACAAAATTTCACAGGAAGAAGTGAACTAGCAATGAAGAACTCTGTTTACAATGAAGGATAATGAACTTTTGAGGGTATAATTAAGAGTTATACAGGTAATAAACCCTCATTCCATCAATCTATGAGGACAAACTGCCAGCAAGCTTGATCTTATGAAAGGGATCTCAGGCAAACTAACAGTAAATATTGAGGAAAAGCACTTAGGGTAAGCTATCTTGTAGGAGACAGGAAAATGCCACGTTAAATTTGAGCTCTAGAAAGCATGCTATAATTTTGTTTTATATGTAACCATTTATTCCCAACATTCTTTTTAGATCAGTTGAATGGCTGTTCTCAAACTTATTCTTGCGTGCTATATGTTAAGTTTTGAATCTTATAAGCTGGTATGCATTATTCCTTTAAAAATAGTAGATCTAACAGTGCTGTCAGTATTCAGCAGAAGAGGGGCAGAGCAGTTCAGAGGGATGCTCAGAGGATTCGGGTTCCTGTGTCCTACTACCAATGTGTACAGGGTGTGCCAGTCCTTTTTGACAAAAGCTGGTATTTTCAGGGAGGTGATTCACAGCAGACACAGAAAAAACTTCCTCATGCTAAGTGTGAGGGGTCACAGTCCTAACTACCCTGATGAAACATTGCAACCTCTGGGAGATGGGGGTTTACTACAGCACCAAAAAAATCCCATCTGTAAACAAGGTTGTATTTTTCCCCTGGACTCTGTAATAAGATGGTCTTTTCTTTTGGGCTGTCAATTAACACAGGTTAATGCCTGCAATTAACGCAGGTGGTGCCGCTGCGCTGCCCCTTTGAAATACCACCAGGATGTTTCAAAGGTGCAGCACAAGAAGAGCCTGGGATCAGCTGGAGTCCCCAGCTGACCCCAGGCAGTGTTGACCCCTTGAAATGCAGCTGCTGCATTTCAAAAGAGCAGCGCCTGGGGTGAGCTGTGAGGCGCTGCCCCTTGACACGCCACCCTGGCATTTCAAAGGAGCAGTGCAACACAGCCTGGGATCAGCTGGGGACTCCAGCTGATCCTGGGTTCCCATGGCGCTGCCCCCTTTGAAATGCCGCAGCGGTGTTTCCAAGGGGCAATGCTGCACGGAGCCAGGGTCAGCTGGGGACTCCAGCTGATCCTGGGCTCGGTGTGGCGCTGTCCCTTGGAAACGCCACTGCGGCATTTCAAAGGGGCAGCCCAATGCGGAGCCTGGGATCAGCTGGAGACTCCAGCTGATCCCAGGCTTTGTGCAGAGCTGCCACTTGGAAACACCGCCGCTGAGTTTCAAAGTGTCAGTTTTTAAAATTGCTTGACTGCCCAATTTTCTTCACAGGTTATTGGCATCTGAACAGAGGAGACTAAGGAGGTATACTGGACTGAGACTCATGTCACTTACACTGACTAGCCTACTTTTAACGGCGGCAACAGAAAGGTTTGGAAAGATGGCAAAAGCTTAATTGGGAAAAGCCAGAGTTCAGCTCAGAGGTCAGACAGACCAGCACTTTATCTAGTTGTACAGCTGTCTCATGAACTCTTGCCTTTAAAGTGCCACAAGATACTAGTTGTTGATATTAATACCTAAACTAGTGTAAGAAGTTATACAACATAACCTTTAAGTGCTATAGTACTTCAAAGAAACACTACTGCTAAAATGAAAGCAGTGGTAACCTAGCCTCTATCCTTACTTCTCATCCTGACTCAGGCTGACCCCTCAATCCACAGTTCCTATACTACAATAATGGCGTGGAAATAGCTCATCTTACTGGAACAAATGTAAACCTGGCTGTTACAAGAACTCCATGGCTGTGTCTACATTGGCATCCCTTTCCAGAAAAGGGATGCTAATGAGACACTTCGGAATTGCAAATCCGCGGGGGATTTAAATATCCCCCGCGGCATTTGCATTTACATGGCTGCCGCTTTTTTCCGGCTCGGGGTTTTTGCCGGAGAAAAGCGCCAGTCTAGACGCGATTTTCCGGAAAATAAGCCCTTTTCCGGAGGATCCCTTATTCCTACTTGATCCCTTATCCCTTTCAAGTAGGAATAAGGGATCCTCCGGAAAAGGGCTTATTTTCTGGAAAATCGCGTCTAGACTGGCGCTTTTCTCCGGCAAAAACCCCGAGCCGGAAAAAAGCGGCAGCCATGTAAATGCAAATGCCGCGGGGGATATTTAAATCCCCCGCGGATTTGCAATTCCGAAGTGTCTCATTAGCATCCCTTTTCTGGAAAGGGATGCCAATGTAAGGGATGCCAATGTAGACACAGCTCATGTGACACTACTAAGCAAAACTGAAGTTTATTACCACGGTATGAATTAACTTTACCCTATTTGGTTGGGTAAAGTACGGCTCAGATAAAAATCTGTCATTTTGATATGGTTTCATTAAGCAGTTGGGCAAGGTGTTCAGAGTCCAAAGAAAAGCAGCTAGCCCTACTATAATAATTGGGTTTTGATAGCTTTAAGGGAAAAATGCACTACTCTTCCAATAAAATTAATTGACAAAATGATCTTCTTAGGGTAAAGATGGCAATGGTCTTTTTTAAAACTTTGGAAAGAAGACTGCTTGATGTAAAACTCTGATACCCTTCATTAAAATAAGGTGTGCGGAGTCTATACTATCGCCATTTTTCAGAAAAAGCTAAGTAAATTGCACTCTCCAATCTGCATAGCTTTTTCTGATGGCTCCTCCGAAAGAGGAGGCTTTTCCATCATTTGGCCCTGTCTAGACAGGGCCAAATGGCAGAAAAGCCTCTTCCGGAAAAGCACTTATTCCTTGTATAACAAGGTATACAGGGCTCCTCGAAAGAGCGCGTTTGCTCTTCCACGCAAAAAAGTGGAAGAGCAAATGTGTTCCTTGGACACAGCGGGGTTTTTGCAGCCAGTCTAGATGTATCCTTGGAGACCTCTGGTGCCTGCTGGCAACCCAGGGAACTCAAAGATGAAGCAGATGCCTCCTATACTCTCTCAGAGGGGAGGGGCTGCTGGAGTTCCTAGCAAAGGTTTCCATTACTTTCAGTAGGAAGTTAAACAAGCACCATCCAATTGGAGATCCTTTTCCTTTAAACATGCTCAGAATGACCCAGAATCTCTCTCTAAGGCCATGGTGTCCAACCCGCTAGCTACTATGTAGCTATTTGGCTTATTGAGTGTGGCTAGTTGGCTCACAAAATTATTAATATTTTCAGAATAACATGGCTAGTTCACTATAGCAGTAGCCACTATAGTAGCTACTGATTTAGAACTGGTTAGACACCACGGCTCTAAGATGACCAGAACACATGAAATAAATAATAGTAGCACAGATCAGCCTTGACCTGTAAGACCATTCAGGGTAGATAACTAGAGGAATAATAATAAAACCTGAACCATGTTCCTTTGACACTTATTGCCTAAGCAAAGCAAGGTCCTACAAACATATCAAAAGCATTTCTGTTTATATATGTAATCAGTAACTTTTAAAACTGCATTGAATACATTCTAGAATGTCAGGGAGTATTCTAGGCACTACTGGACAGAATTTGTATTGTGGTGAAAATCAGAAAAGCCTGCTTTCCAGTAACATCAGATTTGTACTATGATGGAGTGGGATTCCCACATTAGCCTTGCAAATGCAGAATTAGATTAGGTGGGCCCAATCAGTTAATTAGGCTTTATTTTGGAGGCAGCTCATCAGAGCCAGGCCCACCTGTGTAGGAAGAGATGAGGCTGTTGGGGTCCTGAAGCAAAAAAGGAGTCGCTGACCAGAAAGAGAGAATGAGTAATGGCACACAAATCAGGGAAGAGAGCATCTACCTCAAGAGTTGATCATCCGAGAGATCAGGCAGAGATGCCAGAGGAGGGGTGAGTGGTGTACCCTATGACATTCCCTTAGGATACAAAGATAAAGCAATATTTCAAGTATAAGGTTAGGGGACCCTGGATGTGCCTACCTCCCTAAACAGCACCCTCTAATAAGACCCTTAGTGGTTTTGCTGAAAATTGGGAAGCTCATTTTTCACTCTTCACTAAAGTTAATAGGGTTCTGACCTGTGTGTGTTTGAGAGGAGGTAGGGAGTAAACAGACAGGGGGAAAGATACTGAGTGTCCAATTCTGCCTGCATATTGCATATAGATTTTCTGTTTTGTCTATTTAAATTCTAAGTTCTTCAGAGCAGGCACTATCTCCCTTTTGTTTGTACAGCACCTAATTCTTCCGTGCTGTATTAAGATTTATAGTATATCGTTTGAACATCTCAGGTGGGGCTCATAATCGGATTGGAGTTTGAGTAATCAATCTTGCTATTTTAACCGAGGAAGGATCAGTTACTAGAATCTTATTCTCTTCTAATCATAGGACCTAAAGTTACAGCCACCAGGAATAGAACTCTATTCATATGAAAGCTGTCAGACAAATCGAATGGCTGTAAGGAAGGCTTGGAGAAGAGCTCCACTAATCACATGACAAGCATTATGGGCAGTACAGCACTTTCTAATTTTGGCTTGTTCAGTTATTTAGAGTTTGTATTAGTTCACTTCTACATGAACAAATGAATTAACTTATTAATGTATCTCAAGAGTCTGAAAAGTATTAACTTGGGTCAAAATAAAGACCACTATTGTACCCTATATAAAAGAGCTTGCTGGGAAGCTTTCAGTAAAGTCCCGCTACAGTCTAGTATAAGAATCATGTTCTTGCAACAACCTAATCACTGTTTATACTATATTTGAATGGACGTATCAAGCTCTATCACAGGGACACACTCAAACTGGGGGCTAGGATCAGTGTCCCCTGTAACCTGAGTGCATAAGTGGCCACCCAGAAGAGAGTCCAATGCCATCAGCTGATTAGCAGAGTGCCACAGCCAGCAGCATCTATTTCTACTGATGGTGCACATCTGCACATGCCTCAATGCATATAATTTATTCTGCACATGGATGAAAAAAATTAGAGGAACCATTTTCAAGAAGCTAATGCACTGAGGGTAGCAAGCTATCAACCTCCACTCCAATTCCTGCTTTGTTTCCAGCATTTATAATGGTGTTAAACATTTTGTTTTAATGTATTTGCTGAGTACTGATCTGTGACTCCTCTTTTATAAACAAAAAAAGGAGTCACTCAGAGGCTTATGTCACCAGTACAAAAGTTTGAGAACCACTGTTCTAGTAAATATTCTTTACTGAAGGAATGCAGGGAAAACTTAGCTTGAGTTGACATGTCCAAGACAAAATAGGAATCACTACACTGAAGGGTTTCTATCCACTGTTAGTTTCATTTTTGTATCAACCCTACACCATCATGTGACAGTAACTTCTCAGTACATCTGAAAAATGTTGAGAGTTGTAATAGACTCTTAACATTTTAAGGGCAATGTTACACCTCATTCAAGTGCCATTTCAGGACATAATCCCTGTTTAGCAAATGATCTGAGTACATGTATAAGTGCTTTCCTTAATTAGAGCCATGGTGCCTTACAAAAAGATACCCTGTCCAAAGTTTCCCTTACTGAAATAGTTTCTCACTTGATTATCAACATTATCAGTTGATTGAGTCTTGAACATTAGTACCCAGATCTTTAACTGGACTCCACTCAATAGGCCAGTGTGTTAGTGGAGACAGCAGAACACTGTCTGCTAGGCAGACAGGCTACAGCATTTTCTAGGGATGTTAAATTTCGATTAATCAGCTAATCGAGTAGTTGATGGAATTTCCATCAATAACTTGATAGGGAATGATTTTGCTATCCTACCATACCTCTCCTCTTAAAGTGTACAAGAGCTTCCTGCGGCTCTTGTACATTTCAAAGGCAGATGAAACCTGCTGCCTCTCTCCCCTTGAAATATACAAGAGCCATGGCACCTGATGTACATTTCAAAGGGAGAGAGGCAGTGGGAACCTGTGCCAGCGGGAAGTAAAGCAGTTCCCGCTGGCACGGGTTCCCCTCTGACTCTTGTCGGCTCTTATACATTCCAAAGGGAGAGAAGCAGCAGTGGGACTGGCATGAGCAGGACTGTTTCAATCCTGCTTGCGCCATTTGCCCTTTGCCCCCCATGGAGACGGTGCTGAAGATGGGAGGGAACCAGCTTGTAAGCTTGTGCCCTTCCCCTTGCTGCCTCTCTCTGAGGGAGCAACTAGTCAAGTTCCTACTCGACTACCTGATAAGCATTTGCTTATCAGGTAGCTGACTAATCACTTCAGCTGACAGGAGATGCTAGGGATGTAAGGTATTTCAGGGCAAATCTTCATTCCTACGTAAGTCACTAAATAGGCTTGCCTCATAGGTCATGATTTTTTTAGACCTCGAATAATTTTTGTTGCTCTTCTCTGTACTTTCTCCAATATATCCACATCTATAGTGCCCAGAACTGGAAACACTAATCCAGTTGAGTAATCTCACTTAAATGTTAAAGTTACCTGTAAAAGCAACCTAGCATCAGAATAATGCATGAAGTCAATTCACTGGACTGCTTTTAACAAAGTTTGCTATTTTCACTAGATTACTGAAGGTCCGGATTCTACTTTATAGGCATTTCTAGTAGCAACAGGTCAGTACAGGTAACATCCCAGCATTAGTTGTGATGGGTGAGAGATCTCTGATCAGGCTGTTCTCACATTTTTTTGCCACAACAATCTGTAGAGCTTGCAATAAATTCTTCTTGAATGTGGAAAGTTTCAACTACTGCTTGATACAGCTTTACATAAGAGGAAGTCTTCATCGGAACTAACACAACAGTACTGCAAAAACTGAAAGCTGTGCCACACCAGTTGGTAAGTCCTCAAGCTGAATTTTTAGACCATTTTCCTAAGTTTTGAAAGTAATTGCTCTAATTTAGTCTACCATATCACCAATACAGTGCAACACATGAAGAGCCACTTTTTCAATGTAGTCACTGTAGGACCTATAGCTTATGAAGCCATGTCTGTTGAGTAGGAAAAAGGTACCTTTCTTCAGTAACATTTGCCTCCTGCCCAAAGAGCGTGTGTAACACTGATAGTTGAAAAGTCCATGTGTTGATTTAAAAGCCTCATGTTTATCTGTGTGTTTGTCTTCTAAATACTGTAACAATTTTGAAGGCTTCACACTTTGCAACAACTTCAGGACAGAGTGGGATGTAGTTATGAACTAGTGTACTTTGTGTTCTGAGGTTCTGTCTCAAAGCTGCTGGATCAACATGAAGCCATTGCTTTTCTGCAGTCCTCTTAGCAATCATTAGAACTCACTGTCCTTCATGAAGTAATCTTTGCTTGTTGCCAAAATTTACTTCTACAGATGGAATGACAGATGCAATAGTAAAGTGAGGTTCAGTGTTCTTGGGCCTCAGCAATTACAGCTGACAGTATGTCTGCATGCATGATTTAGATGCAGCAGAATGCAAGAAGTTTAAGATTGCTACTCATTTAAAAATATAAATTCAGGCACATAGATGCCTCTGTTCCCAACAGTATTTTAACCTATCATTGTGTGTGTCTGAATTTACTCCTTTTCCTCTGGCTTCTCCTCTCCCCTGAGCAACTTGAACACTAACTTTGGCATAACTTGTGTACAAGTCCTAATGGTTTATTCTTTAAGCTTAGTAAATTTTTGCAAAGTTTTACTGTGAGAACCCTTTGCCTCAAGCCACTGCATGATCTCAGAAGTTGTGACCCATAATGTAGGGAATCCTGACTGAAGCTCTAATACCAAGTTCAGTAAGATACTTAATCATGTACCTATCTTTAACAGATGTGGATAAATCCACAGCAAGTCAGTGGAAATACGGATACATAAAGGAAAGCACATGATTAAGTACTCTAATTAGGGTTTAGGTACAGGTTTCTCTCCTTCCAATTATTCTGAACCTCCTTTTTTACAACCTAAGACAAAGGGGGGCAGGAACAAGAAGGAAGGCTGTCCACAGTTGCGTAATTGCTATAATTTTCATTACATGGGAATATTCAATTTTGGGGGAAAACTTGATAAATTAAAGATGAAAATCTGTTGATCCTGTAATACTTCCAAAAAGGCATCTACAAGAAAGCTTTGAACATGTTAAATGTGGTAACATCAGTTTGTTTTAAAAATACAAAAACTATTAACTGCAAAGCAAACTAAAATTGAACTTTCATATTAATGAATCTGTCTATGGCAAATGCTCTGGAGAAATTTCAGTACATTGAAACTTGTGGAATTACTGTTAAATATGGCTAAACATAAGACTCAGTGTTCTTAGTACACCTTGCATTCATAATTTTGCTTAATCTTACCCATAATCAGGACTCGACAAATCACTGAATCTATTCGCCCGTGGCGAGTAGATTTCAGCCGGTCGCGTCGTTCGGTGGCGGCACGCGCATGCGCAATGCAGGTCTTGCGCATGCGCAGTGCGGGGCTGGAGAGCAGATTTCGTCGCCGTTTGTCAAGCCCTGACCATAATAATGCTTTTTTTGGCATTTAGTCCTTTCTTAGCAAGTTAATTTAATCTTGGAGTCTTTGGGTCACCAGTACTCCAGTTCTTTAGTAGTAATTTAAACTTTTCCAGATATTTATTAGGAGCACACAGCTCTCATTTCATTAGCAACTAATAAAAAATGGCTTCATCACCTATATGGTATTTTATAGGCACTAGACTTGTAATCTAAAAATGGCATGTTACCTTCATAAAGGGCCCCATTTTGTTCTTGTTCCACAGCCTTCAGGAACAGTTCTCTTGCCTGCACAATAAATTACATAGAACATTTTAAAAAGCTTGTTACAAGTGCTCAAGCAAATCTAGTTAACAGAATTTTCATCCAAGATGACAACTGTATTCTATGAAATGCTTTTACTGTTCTCTTTGCCACAACGGCATATAACATGGAGGTAACATTCAGGTTCTAACTGAATTTCCAAGCTGTCATAGAGTATTATTCTAATCTTGCCTATATTTTTTTAATTAAAGCAGGGCAAGAAGCACTTATCAATTAGGAATTGCATAAATTCTAGAATCACTGAAGCCATGGCTGATGTAGCACTTCCCTTATAAACCTATTTTCATAGGTTTGCAAACTACCACCTCTTTATTTTTAAAGAAACCTGCCATAGTTGACTTTCTATTTGAAAGGAACCTAGTCTCGGGAATGAGAGAGCTTTATCAAGCCTTCTTTGCAAAGCAATAAACTTTATAACATGTCTTTCACCAAAACTGGCAGGGGAGTGAAGATCTTGACTTTCTTTCAAGTATCGCACTTTTTCCTAAAGACACTTTGGCTCCAACTCAATTTTGTTCTTAAAAAAAAAAAAAAAAAAAAGTACAAAGCCATTCCAGAGGTGAAACTAATAGCCACGAAGAGAGGCAGAGAGCACTTGGCAGATATTAAGAAGTCAAATCCAGAGCTGACCTACAGGAGCAAAAGCATGTCAATTGCAAATCCTGTCTGCTGAACTGAAGAATAGTGAGAGTTCAACTGGAATTCTCTCTCCTGTTTAATTGGAAAACATTAGTTATTGACCTAGTTCAGAAGAACTTCAGCAGTTTTTAGTATTTGTATATATCCACACAAGATGATAGTTAAAAGGACAATTTGTCCAAGACATCACTCAAATGGACTACATACCTACATAACACTCAGTATTAAGTATAGTGGCTTCCATCTTGTCATGATACATATGTTTTGGTGTAGGAGGCAAAGTCACGTATGAGGAGGAAGAAAAGGGGATTGGTTTTAAAGGTGGTAAAATGTAGAAACAGAGGGCTAGATTCACAAAGTGACATGGGTGTCCAACTTTGACATTTTTACACCTCTGGCATTCACAAAACCCCTGCTTAGCTACCACCTAACCCTGTAAGTGACTAAACTGCCCCAACTTTTTTGTAGCAAAACTTCTGGATGCCTAACTCTGTGCTGCTGTGCATGCATGCATGCTGCTGCCTCACTAAGCATCTCAACATCTAAACCCCAGAAAAATCCACAAAGTAGGGGAAGATAGCAGTTCCTCTACCTTTCTCAGCTGCAGGGCCTAATCCAGCAAAGTGTATTTGAAATCTACCTCCATAATAAGGGACCATTCAAAATCTAGCCAGAGGAGGGAGTGGTAGCAGTGGTGCCTAGGGATGTGAATGACTAGTTGAGTAGTCATTCCACCACCCCTTGCTGCCTCTATCAGAAAGAGGTAGCAGTGGGGGAAGAGGGAGTGATTCAAAGAGGCAGCACCGCATGGAGCCCGGGGGGCCAGACCTCGGGCTCCATGTGGCACTGCCACTTTGAAGCACTGCGTGAAGCCTGGGGCCAGCTGAAGAGCCCGCAGGCTGCACCCAGCATTTCAAAGTGGCAGCACTGAATGGAGCTCAGGGTCAGCGGGGGAGTCCCCAGCTGACCTCGGGCTCCACATGGTGCTGCCACTTTGAAACGCTGCAGGGAGCACAAGTCAGTGGGGGACTACCCCATGCTCCCCGCAGTTCTTTTGCCTTTCAAGTGTAGCAATAGCCCAGCAAACTACACTGACTACTTGATTAGTCAATCAAAATTTAACATCCCTAGTGGTGCCTATTTTACAACTTTTAGAACACTTCCCCAAAACATGGGAGACCTGGATTCAAGTCTACCCTCAGGCTGAAAATGCCCTCTCTCCCCTGTTGATGCTGTTGCACTTTGTAGTTTTGTGGTTAGGGCTCTCACTTGGAAGGAGGCTCCTGGAACTCCAGAGACTGTTGAGATCTACAGAGTCATTTTTGCACACTCTCTAGTCCAGGGGTGGTTCACAGTGGAGAATCTCAAGCAGGAAATGGCACACTCTTGCAGCCCAGACTTATGACCGTAACTCCTTGGAAGGTGCTTAGGATACCTTCTCTTTGCTGTCTCCCATTACTAGCTAAGACAACTCCTCACTCTGTGTGCTGGCTTTTGGGAATCCAATTTTTGGTATACATCTATACTTACAGCAGTATACACAGTACAGGCAGTCCCCGGGTTACGTACAAGATAGGGACTGTAGGTTTGTTCCTAAGTTGAATCTGGACGCCAGTTCTGACTTACATACAGATTCCCCTTAAGAACCCCAGGCTCCGCGGCTTTGCTCTGCTTTGCTCCCCGTCCCCCTGGTCTGCAAAGCAGAGCAAAGCCGGGGAGCAAAGCAGAGCAAAGCCGAGGAGCACGCAGGCAGGCAGCCCCCCACAGCCACACACACACACACACACACACACACACACACACACACACACACACACACACACAGACACACACACAGACACACACACACACAGACACACACACAGACACACACACCCCTCTAGCATGAGTATCACTAGAACTGTAGACTAGGAATGTCTAAGTAACTGTTAACCAATGAACCTGGGATCACTGGTTATCATGCATGGTTACACGCAGCCCCTCCTCCCTGCCACCGCGTGAGGGGAGAGGAGGGCAGGTGGGAGTCGGTGTGTGCGGAGAGCCAGTTTTAAGCCATCTCCCCATGTGTACTGGTTCCTGTGGAGCTGCCCACCCGGTGTGTAATCGCTGAATTTTTCAGCAGCTACATGTTTACTTCAATGAATTTGTAACATCTCTGCTATAGACTGAGATACAGTTTAGATAAGAATGCCATGAGAATTCATGATGGAAGGGAATGTACCCTACAGGGCTCGCTACATACCCAAGAATTGCACTCCACATCTACAATGCTATTTTTAGCAGTGTTGTAGCCAGCTTCCAAAAGCTCTCCCTCCTGCACTGAAAGGCTCCAACTCCACTCTGCCAGAGTTCTTCACTGAAGCATGTCGCGCCACACCACAGACACAAGTGTGGATTCAACCTCTCTTTCACTGTGACAAGATGGGCACACATGTAGTGTCTGTACATATATACTTAAGGCAATTTCCCCTATCCATTGTAAGGGGAGCTGGAGCATTAACTCAGAATTTGTGACTTCCAGTGTTCTTCTAGGCACCTAAAAGTTAAGCACCACAGCAACTCTGTGAATCTAGCATATAGTGAGGAAGTTATCTGATCTCTTGAAGGTTTAACCAGAAATTAAACATTCAATGTTAATAGCTAATGGAATGCTAACTTAAAGACAGTCTATTAGTAAATTAAGTGATCTTTCCTACCTTCTCCTCTTTTGCTAGCTCCTGCTTTCCTTTGGTATCTACAGCCTTTACTCCAGGCCCTCTTGCGCATGACACAGTTTCCAAACCACCAGAACTCATGCCTGGGGCAAGTTCAAAAATCCACTGAGCTCTAAACATCTGGAGCTCTGCCTAAAAAAGCAGAAACGATAACTCCTAATAGCTTCTGATTGAACATCTTCTGTGCAGAGATATCTTCTGTACAAGAGATGACATTGTCTCTAAAGATCCAATCTACAAATAAAAACTTTGAATATACGTTACATGTACAATACTAACTATATAAGGGTAAATATAGAGACTATTTAGCAAATTCAGGCAAAGATTAGAATTAGCATTTCCTGTGGTGTCATTTACAGTGGAATTACCAGAAAAGTCTCTCACACATTCTATGGCTTATGGACAGTTTAGTTCCACCAATGCAATTGCTTCTGTTTGGATCATTCAGCGTGAAGAAGAAAATGTAATCACCACGATTGCTTTGTGCAACAACTAAATTCTGGCCTAAATTCATAGAAACAATCTCATTGTTTTATTTCTGAAGATGTCTGAATAAGTCTACTTACTCATTCATATATATTTTAAGCAAACAATAGCTAAAATCGTTTTATAGTAATCTTAAGCCATTTTTCTATATAAAATTATTACTGTTATAAATACATTATTGTAAATTAGCTTTGACTATGATAAAGGTTATAATTTATAGTTTGCCTTTTCATGGGGAGGATCATGTGGCATAAAACAAGTGAAGTCAGCATACTATGCTTCCCTCATTTAATTTTGACTTCAGTGTGTATTTTAGTAATCTAAATTCCAAAGCTGTTTTAGTTTGTCTTTTTTGTGTTAATAAGGTGGAAACATTTTTTCTACTGTGGAAAAAAATGCCAAGTGAAATGTGTTTTAAAATGAGAATGCTACTTTAGATGTACCTGAAGATTTGCTTCACCAGGCCTTTCATTGTCATCAGTTCTTATCAGATCAGAGTGACAATCTTCTTCAGCTTCTGCCTAATAGAGAACAGTTATTCATTAATATGAAGCCGTGAAATGCACATTCACTACTTTGTGAGTAACCTCTGCATGCGCACACACACTACAAGAAAACCTTGTTCCACCTCCATGTCTCTATTGCCACTTAAAAGTAATTTAGTCTGATATTAAGCTGATAGAATAATGGAATGGGAAATGATATTGAAACTGATAACGACCTTTTTTGCACTTCACTTAAATGGGTTAACGCAGAGATTAGCTAGATGTCATTTGCATATTTCACTCTGCTGACAAACAGTGCTTCATAAATTTGGATTATAATGGAACTCTGCCCTGTCGTCCTATTCAACACTGTATACTGTACTGGACTACAGTGCCCCATCACTGTATCACAGTGTTCTATAAACATAACAAAAATTGATATCTTCTAGGAAGGGAGGACATGACTCCAATAAAACTTACACAAGTAACTGGTTGCTTTGACTAAACAAATTGGTAAACTTTAGAAAGGACAATTGTTTGGAGCAAAATACCCAAGTTATTTTAAGTAACCTTCTACATGATGGTTTTGGTAGAATTTTTTTTCCCCTCCAAGTCTATGTTTCAGCCAACTGTATTTTCACTCTTCTTGTGCAAAGAACACCACTCCTCACTCTGCCACTGGGACTTCACTCTGATCAGTAGTCTCTTGGTGTAATTCAACACTGTTAGGAATGGAGAATTCTATACTCACTCATTTCCAGTGCAAGCAATCAAGTCTGCCACAATGTCTGAACTTCAAGACCCTACTCAAAACCAACTGTCAGAACTGCTGAGCATTCAAGATGCCGTTACACCCTCTGAGTTCTGAATTCCGCTGGTCTCCCTTTCACCTGCACTCTGTACATATTCAAATACTAGTCACTTCTAATTTGCAAATGTATATTTCTCCTACTGATGTGACTGAAATTCCAATTAATTAGTGTAATGAGTAAAAAACAGGACTATGTAGCACTTTAAAGACTAACAAGATGGTTTATTAGTGTTCTTGCGCAAGAGGCCAGTGTAGACAGGCAACATGAATTTCTTGCGCAAGAAAGCCTGATGGTTAAAATGGCCATCGGAGCTTTCTTGTGCAAGAGAACGTCTACACTGGCATGGATGCTTTTGCGCAAAAGCACATGCCAGTGTAGATGCTCTCTTGCGCAAATAATTTAACACAAGAACTCTTGCGTTAAAGTGTATTTGCGCAAGATCATGCCAATGTAGATGTAGCCCCTGATTTTACATTTTGAATGTTAAGAGAAATGAAGAGTCACGAGGGGAAACATGGCACTAATAAGCCAGTTTGTTTGCTGACTATACAGATCAAAATCTAAAAAAAGTTGGGTCATTTTAACTCAGGTTTGATTACAAAGAACTTGCTACATCCCATAAGCTTGTCGATCCATGGAGCTCAATTATCACTGTCTTGCAAACCAGAACTGTACAATGCATTCCTGAGACAATACAAAGGCTGCCATTTACTGAAGAAACTCCACTGTCATTTAACACCACTATAGCCAACATCTGAACTAAGACCTTCACAGAACCAGTAGTAACTGTACAAGGCGAGCCTCTCTGAATCACTAAGCGTTACTATGCTCAACTCATCTAAAATAAATCACACTTCATCTTTCCATAGCTAATATGAGGTTTACAGAGTTTTGATTATTTTATATCATCACATTTAGACACAAGAAAATCTCTGTCCTCCTTGCCCTGGCTATTATTTCTTTGGGTTATTTTTTTAACCTTTCTCCATGTAACTAAGGAGCATTTTAATTTGGGTCTGGTTAGAAAAAGCTCTGCGAAGATTAAGGACTTCTCACAAGATATTTCTTTACAAATAAGATCTCTCATTCACAAATACTCTCCTTAAACATGAGTCAAAACTAGTAGACAACAGATTCAGTCAAATGACATCTATATATTGCCCAGCGAAAGGGCAGTTGGGAAATGTCCACAAGTTGGTATAGATCAGGTTGGGCAAACTACAGCCCACAGGCTGCATTCAGTCCCTTAGGGTTTTCAATCTGACCTTTAGGATTACCAATCCAGTGGCAGAGGGAGGCTACGGTAGGTTCCCTGCCTGCTGTGGTCCTGGGCCAGTCGAGGAAGTGGCTGGCATGTCCCTACAGCAGCTGGAAGGGGCAGAAGGCTCTGTACCAGGAATGGGCAAAATACAGCCTGCAGGCCGAATCTGGCCTGCCAAGCTTTTTTAACTAGCCCATGGCCCAACCTGCCACTCCACCAGTTCTAGCTCAATCGAGATCAGGGGCAGGGGAGCGCGTACAGTAGTTCACTGTTCAAAGCGGCTGGCAGCTCCCTCCTCCCCACCAGGGGCACGTGGCACCTAGGAGGTACCAGCCATTTGAAACAGCGAATGACTGGGCACTCCCCTGCCCCCAGGCCCCGACTGGCCTGGGGACAGCAGAGCATGTGGCACTTAGAAGAAACCACCAGCTGTTCCCTCTAGGCACCTCTAGAGACTTTGTGTGCTCTGCTTGCCCTCAACTGGTTCAGAGGGAGCATGTGAAGTCTCCTTCCCCCCCCACCAGGGGCATATGGCACCTGGAGGGAACGGCTCTTTTCCTCAGAGGCCCTTTCCTTTGGTCTGAGGCCCTGCCTTTCCCAGGGACGGAGCTGGTCCATGACCATTACCAAAAATGGTGAAGTGGACCCACCGTAAAAATTATTGCCCACCCCTCCTGTGCATGTGGCCCTCATCAGAAGATGCCATCCCTGCAGCTCCCTGGCTGTGTCTACACTGGCATCCTTTTCCAGAAAAGGGATGCTAATGAGACACTTTGGAATTGCAAATGCTGCGGGGGATTTAAATATCCCCCGCGGCATTTGCATGAACATGGCTGGGGGGGTTTTTTGGCGCCGGGGGGTGCTGGG